GCAACAAGTATGTACCTCCTTCCGCCTGTAGCAGGCGTATATGGACCCAGAATATCCATGCCCCACTTAGCAAACGGTAGTGGGCTATGAATGGTAGTGAGGTCAGTAGCCGGACGGTGAATTAGCTTGCCAAACCTTTGGCACTTGTCACATTTTTTCACCATCTCCATTGCATCTGCTTCTAAAGTAGGCCAAAAGTAGCCCTGCGGCCTTGCCCATTGAGCAAGCGTCCTACCGCCTATATGGGAAGCACAGTAACCATAGTGAAGATCGTCTAGTATCTCTCGCCCCTTTTCTGGAGTAACACACTTCAAGAAGGGTTGAAGGTACCCCCTTTTGTGAAGTTCTCCCTTTATCATTTCAAAACTGGTTGCTCGTTTTTTCAGTGCTGCCGCCTGTTGATGATCATCCGGCAGGGTACCGTTTGTCAGATATGCCCTGATTGGATCCATCCAGGTTGAGCTTCTGTCTAGGATTCCAATAGGGTCTTCCTCTATGCTTCTCTTCTCCATTACTTCCCAAAAAACAGTTCGAGGAGTATCACAAGAAGCGGATGATGCTAATTTTGAAAGTGCATCCGCCTGGTTGTTTTCTGATCTCGGCACTTGAGTCAGACGAAAATCTTCAAGGGATCCGACCGCCTGTCGTACCGCCTGTAAATACTTGATCATGGCCGGATGGGTTGCTTCGTATTCGCCATTATACTGACTCACTATCAATTGTGAATCGGAACAGGCATCTATCTTTCGTGCCCCTGCCGCCTTGCACATGCGGATTCCAGCTAGTAAAGCTTCATATTCTGCCTCATTGTTTGAGGCCTGAAAACTGAAGCGTAGAGCATACTCGTACCTGTCGCCCTCTGGCGACTGACATATGACGCCTGCTCCACAACCATTTGATGTAGAGCTTCCATCCACATATACCTTCCAGACTTGGTCTGGATCTCGAGAATCAGGGGGACGAGTCATCTCAACAATAAAGTCAGCAAAGGCTTGCCCCTTCACTGCTTTTCTAGGCTCGAAAGTAACTTCGAGGCTCTGTATTTCTATGGCCCATTTGATCATTCGGCCTGACGACTCCATGGTGGTCAGTGGCCGCTTGATAGGTTGATCTGTATACACGACGACTGCATGTGCCAAAAAGTAGGGCTTCAATTTTTTAACAGCCATGAAGAGTGCAAGACCAAATTTCTCCACTAAGGGATACCTCAACTCGGCATTTTTCAGTACATGACTGACAAAGTAGACCGGGGCATTCTTAAGACCAAACGGCATGACCGTGTAACAGTATAACCCCTGATCAGTGACGAAGGCCGTCTTCTCCTGATCTTTCTTCCATAAAGGAATTTGATGGAAACCAGAGTAGGCGTCCATAAAGCTCATCAAAGCATGGCCGGCTGTTGAGTCGACCAGGTTATCAATTTTAGGCAGAGGGTAACTGTCTTTGGGGCACGCCTTGTTTAAGTCTGTGTAGTCTACACACATTCGCCAGGTGCCATTCGGCTTTTTAACAAGCACCACATTTGCAACCCAGTCTGGGAAGTAACATTGTCGGATGAACCCTGCATCAAGTAATTTTTTAACTTCGGCGGCTGCCGCCTGACTTCTTTCTTCTCCATGGTTCCACTTCTTCTGCCTTACCGGCTTCTTTTTCGGATCCACGGCCAGTTTATGTACCGCCAGATCAAGACTGATGCCTGGCATTTCATGGACTTCGAATGCAAAGATGTCCTTGTATTCTTTCAATAGTTTGTGAAAGTCGTCACCCAGGACCCTTAGAGCAGTCGTCCCAACTTTGACTGTTCTGTCAAGACGCGAGTCATCTAAGATCAGGTCCGTATGCTCACCAGTTGGCTGAGGGCGGAATTCATCCGACCGCTCCTCTGCCAATGATTGCTATTTTCTGTCTTTTCTTGAACAGGCGCACTCTCCTTGACATTGTCAAGGTCTATTTTTCCACCACTCGACCCAGCGGCCATAACAGTGGGCTTGACATCCGAGAGATAGCACTCTCGGGCCATCCTCTGATCTCCCCTTAGGGACCCGACTGTTCCATTATCCCTCTCAAACTTGGGCAACATAAGAGATGGGATTATAACAGCCTTGGAATTATTTAGGGTTGGTCGTCCCAGAATCATGTTGTAGGCCGAGAGTTCTTCTACTACCAGGAACCGGACTACCATGTGTCGTCCTTCCCCTTTTTCACCCAGGCGGATGGGTAAATCCACTCGTCCCACTGGGTGGACTCCTCCTCCTCCAAACCCTACTAAAGGGTGGGATGCCGGATGTATGCAATCAGTCTGATATTTTAGTTTCGACAGACATTTGCTACTGATGAGATCTGAGGAGCTTCCGGTATCTATGAGGATTCGGCCAACTCTCTGGTTGGCCACTTTACATTCAATGACGATAGGGTCGTCGTGCGGCCCTCTTACCCCTCCTAGATCTTCTTCAGTGATGACAATCTCAGGAAATGAATATTTGGAGGGCCGTTCTTGGTGAACGGAATTTACATCTAGCCGTCTAATATTTTCTTTGTTGCCCCTAATAGTGGGGCCGCCTCCTGAGAAGCCGCCTGCAATGGTGTAGACGACTGCATCATCTGTATCGGAGCTGTCGGCCTGTTGATTCTTTTTGGCCGACTGCTTTTTCGAGGAAGTGTTCCCCGTAGATTTCTTGACATAAGTGTCAAGATCACCTTGCTCAGCCAGGCGGTCCAGATACCGCATGAGACTGATGCATTCATTGGTGTGATGACCAACATCTTCATGATAATCACAGAATTTTTCTTGGTTCCGGTTGTTTGCAGAACCCTTCATGGGGACCGGCTTCTCAATTGAGATCCGTCCCTTGATTTCCTTTAGGATAAATTGGCTATCCTTGTTAAACGCATACTTTGGGGAGTATGGTTTGAATTCTTTTTTCTTCTTCTGGGCCGGCTGTTTAGAGGAATCAGCCGCCCAGACCTCTTTTCTCTTCTCATCTTTGTTTGACGAATGTTTCTGTCGTCCTTCTCTTTTGTCGGACCTTTTCCCGTCTGACTGTTTTACCGTACTACAAAGATCAGTCGCCTGTATATAGGCTTCCGCTTCAATCAAGGCCTCTTGAAGAGTCGCCACCCTCTTTCGGACCAAATCAAATTTGAAGGTCAACCCGTATTTGAGACCTCTGAAAAAGTCAGTATAGGCTACTTCATCCGGTAACCCTTGAATTTGTATTCTCATCAGGTTAAACCGCCTGATGTAAGAACGAAGCCCCTCCTTCTCGCCCTGCTGAATCGTTCCTAAATCAAGGGTCGTCTTCTTCGCAGGGATGTTCATGGCGAAGTTGGAGGTGAATAAGTAAGCAAGCGTCCTGAAGTTATTTACACAACCAGTCGGCAGGTTGCCGAACCATTGTTGTGCGATTCCTTTGAGAGTCGCTGGGAAACACTTGCACCAAGTGGGATCATCCAACCCTTGAAGGTACATCAGGTTGGTGAATGCCATCAGATGGTCTTCTGGGTTAGTAGTGCCGTCATAGGCGCCTACTAATACATTTTTCACTTTGGCCGGCTGAGCGGCTTCAGTAATTTCCTTGGAGAAGGCCGACGGCTGTTCGCCAAGTCTAAGCAACCGTAGCTGCCAGTCCATAGGTTGGACATTTTTTGCTGCATGTCCACCAAACGGAGGTGGCTGCAAAAAATACTGTTGTTGCGGTACAAACGGTAAGTTTGGTACCGCCTGGTCGCTATGAAAGCCAGACTGACGGGAGGTGCCGCCTGACTGACTCTCATGATACGACTGAGTATGCCTCATCGATGTATTGCGCAGACTGTCTTGGAAGTTTGAAGTAGAGGCCAACTCTGACAATCGGTCACTCTTCTTCTGCTCTAGCAGTAGTCGAGCATCTGTGTATGTTTTCCTCGACCCGTCCGCCTGAATATGACGAACAGGTTTCCTCTTTCCTGGAGTAGGAAAACGGTATTTTGTGAAATCAAGGGCAGGTGGCTCCCACTTCCTAGATTTAGGATGAGGGGTCGCCTCTCGCCCTTGAACTGGCTTCCTCTTCCGTGAAGTGGAGGGTTTCTTAGCCGACTGCTCCTTGTCCAGAGCAGGCGGCTTCTTGTTGATCAACTCTTGAATTTCTCCCTTGAAGTCCCTCATGAAGGTCATGAGTTCGTTCCTTGTGATGGGAGCAGACTCATCAGTCGGCTGCTGCCGAACAGGCGGTGCGCCTGCTGGCTCACTTCCAGTTTGAAGATGTTCCCGTTCCCTCCTTTCGGTATGACGGGTACGTCGGGCCCTTAGGGTCCCGTCTGAAGCTGTGTGAGCTTCAACTTCAAATTCATTCTCAGTATCGTGGTCCGACTGAACTAGAGGGTCGTCCAGGGGACGTCTCTCTTCAGGAGCCGGTACAAACGTGGATGCCATCTCAGAAGTACTCTCCCCACAGACGGCGCCAAAAATGTTTCGGGGTTTTCTGATGTCCTGCGGGAGAGTTACAATTCCGAGACTGGAACCGGACGCCTGTACCTGCAAAACAAACGGATGCTCCGGATGATTGGAGATCCGCCTCCGACGGTCAAGTTAGTACTTGATTAAGGAGTAATTAATGCGGAAATTAAAGTGATTGGGTCTCTCTAGGTGAGAGTGTTTAATGTGTGTAATCTGCGTAATCCCCCTTAATGAGGATTAAGGGAGGTATTTATAACCTCGGGAAACGTGCCAATCCTAGGTTTAGGTTAACCTTGGGCTGATTGGGCTTCCCTCGGAAGTTGGGCCTAGGTGGCCGACTTCTCCATTAGGCATGGAGTATGCCACATGTCATGACATAATAGGTCCAGGGTGGACGAATAAGCGTGTGCCACGTGGCAAGCCCTGAGAGGTCCAACTGGGGGACACTTGGCAGGACCTGATTGGCCCACGTGGCGCATTCCGATTGGTGGGAGAAAAATCCCCTAATCAAACTTCATTACCAGTTCCAAAATATGTAGAACTCAGGGTCATTAGTTTATCAAGCATGGCATACAATTTCAATGATGCTTTTTTCAGCATTGACCAAATGCTCAACGATGAAGGCAACATGGAAGACCAATATTCAAGCAATGAAGGAACTCAGAACAATCAACACAGTCAACAACAAGAAGAAACAACACATAATCCCAGAGCCAAGAAAGAATTGACTGTATCCCAGAAGAGACAGATTGTTGATGATTTTTTATTACAGCAGGAGGGTGGGGAAATACCAAGAGGATTTTTAACAAAGCAAGCAATCAAGTTTCATGTACACAGGTCAACTATTCACAGACTAATCAAAGACATTAAGTCACAAATGGCAGTGGGGAATGTGATAGATGTCAAAAGCAATAAGTTGGGCAAAACTGGACCCAAACCAACAGAATACACAGATGAGTTCCTGCAATCAACCCCATTGTACAAGAGGGTAACTGAGAGAAGCTATGGAGCAGCTCTCAAAATATCACATGTCACCATCCACAAGTTAAAGAAAAAAGGAAGACTCAGAACACATACAAGCACAAATCACCCTGCACTGACATCCAACCACAAGATAACAAGACTGAAATGGGTGTTAAGTCATCTACTGCCAGCTGAAGATAATAGGGACCCACAGTTTCTGGATATGCAGCAAGTAGTGCATATTGATGAAAAATGGTTCTACTTGAACCCAGACACAGGAGGTTCTACCTCCTGCCTAATGATCCTAACCCATACATGTGCCAACAGTCCAAAAGGTTCAAGGTAAAAGCCATGTTTATGGCTGCCATTGGGAAGCCAATTTTTGACCCCCAAGGAGTTGTCTTGCATGATGGAAAATATGGAATTTTTCCATTTGTGTATGAAAGCACGGCAAAGAAAAAAGGCAAAAACAGGGAGGCAGGTGTTGTGGAAACAAAGGCAATACAAAATGTCAATTAATAGGCAATCAGTGCAATGCTGCTGGAAAAAGTGATTCCTGGCATCAAACAGAAATGGCCATCCCATTTGTCCAAGGACATATGGATTCAGTGGGATAATGCAAGACCCCATCAAATTCCCAGGGATGAGGAATTTAATGCAGCTTGTCAGTCAGATGGTTTCAATATCCAATTCATTTACCAGCCAGCTCAGTCCCCTGACCTTAATGTGCTAGATTTGGGGTTGTTTAATGTCATTCAATCCATACAATACCAATCATTTCCTAGGAACTTAATGGAACTCGTTGAGAAAGTGAAAGAGGCTTATGACTTGTTTAATCCAATTTCAAACAAGCATTGTTGGATAACATTGCAATGTTGCATGGAAGAAATACTCAAACATCTTGGGGGGAATCATTTTACCCCTCCACACAAAGGGAAGAAAAGGCTGGAAAGACTAGGCATGCTGCCAGAAGTACTACATGTGGACAGGACTTTGGTTCAACAAGCTGTTGATCACCTCAACAGTATGTTCATAGAAATAGGTCAAGGCAATGACAATGATGAAGGAATGAAAGTTGATGCAGACTAAACACAACAAAGACAAATGAGCAAGGTAACAGTGAGATTGCCACACATAACCAATGAAGATCAAGGAAGCCACTAGGTAGTGTTTATCGGTTTTTTTTCCCAACTTTATTTGTGTTATTGTTTATGTGTATTTTGTTTACATTGAAGGTCAATTAGGTAAGGCAGTCTTGACTAGCTTTTGTTCAACATGTGTAATCTTTTGAAAGACCATATGATATGAAATGTGATGGTTTTATGTACAAAAAGCAATTACAGTAGTATTAAACTGTTTCACATATGCAGAAACAATATTTTAAATCCATCAAATGGGTGTTGTTTTTTCACATAAACTGCATAATTGGTTACCTCAACAACAACTTCTAGTTAAAGTTGTTGGAGCAATTCCAATGATGCAATTTTTTTTTTCAAACTGAGTCCCTTCATCACTTGGATTTTTCCCACCTAATAACACTAGATCAAGGGACTCCTAGATCAGGTAGGACCACACATTTAGGCTACATTGTTCTCTGAATGCACAAAACAGAAGGGACTCAACATCAGGTAACTTATATGCATGCCCACATGGTCTGTCAAGTAGGTTTCAAAGGACTCATTTATCACCATTTAAAGTAGGCTACATAGTCATCATCATTCATCAGATCACAAACCCCAAAGCCATTAGTGCCAAATAGGTACAACCTGAAGGATCCTATCTCACATACACAAGCAACTGACTACAATTGAGGGCCTAAAATTGCCAACATCATGCAGAGATTACCAACAACAAGGCACAACATACCCAAAAGAAGGACCTAACAGAAGCTGATACAACAGACTAATTCCCAAACTCAAGCCAATAGATGGCCAACAATCAGAATTAATCACATTGTGAAAAAAATGTCACAATTATACTAAATGCCAACCCTCAAAAGACAATCCACCAACAAAACAAATAAACCACATTTACCATGACAACATAGGGTGTCAGAATACAGGACTCATAAGCCAGAAATAAGGATAATCATGCACAAATTACTAACAACAACGCCCACAGATAACAAAATCAAGCCAGAATTTAGTAATCATAAGCTCTCAAAATTAGGATAATCATCCACAAATTACTAACAACAACACCCACAATTAACAACATCAAGCCAGAATTAAGTATTCATCAGCCAGAAAATAGGATAATCATGCACAAATTACTAACAACCACGCCCACCATTAACAACATCATGCCACAATTTAGTAGTAATAAGCCACAAATTACTAACAACAACACCAACAATTAACAAAACGCCAGAATTTAGTAATCATAAGCCAGAAAATAGGATAATCATCTACACATTACTAACAACCACGCCCATCATTAACAACATCAAGCCACAATTTAGTAGTAATAAGCCACAAATTAGGATAATTATGCACAAATTACTAACAACCACGCCCACAATTAACAACCCCCCAGAATTTTATACTCATAAACCATAAATTAACTAAATCATACACAAATTACTTCCAATCAACACGAAATAGCAAAAAGGGGCTTTTTTTCACAACCAACAACCAATTCACAGAATCAACATCATTGAACGAAATAGTATAAACTATAAAGGGTCAGAAAAGAGTTACGCTGCGTGATTAGTTAGAAGGGTTGTCATTCACAGCACCATTACCACCATCGCCAACAGGGGACCCAGATCTAGCCCTTTTCTTGCCAGAGACCACTCTAGCAAGCCCAAATCTACCAAGATCTTCTTTATTTTCCGGGATAGGGGCTACCGAAAGACTTTCAGCAACGTCACTGCTAACCACATCAACAGGACCTTTATTCTTCGAACCCTCATCTTTGTTGGCCAGATCTGCACCCTTAGACCCCTCACCTTCCTCATCAGAGTAGTAAGGCTTAAGTTTCGCACCCACACCGTACATACGGCGCATATCCAGGTAGGTGGCCCTTCGAGTTCCAATCAACCTCATCTTCCCAGTACAACGCTGGCATTTGTAGGTCGCAATAACGTTGTCATCTGGCTTCTTCTCATTTGGGGAACTCATTTTTTGGGTTTTTTCACAGAAAAAACTGGGTAAACCAGATCTGGAGGAATTAGGGTTTGAATGAAGAGAGAGAGTGAGGTGAACCAGACAATCAGAGGAAAATAGAGAGTGTGTGGTAAAATAAACAAGAGAAGAGCGAGAGTGTTGCAATTTGGAATGACTTCCAGATTTAAATCAGAGAACAACCTCATTAATGGAGGTAAGAGGTAGGTGAGGGATCAATTGACTGAGGTGCACAAAAACCAAAGAAGACAATTGACTGAGGTGAAATCTGTAATTGATGAGGGTTTGAAGAGCCTCATTAATGGAGGTAGGTGAAAGGACGAACTCAGTGAGGAGAAGATGAAAGGAGGGTGTGATGAATGACTGGGAAGAAAGATCTAGAAGAGGGTTGGTTTGGGTGGGAATCATTAGGTTAGATCTTTAGATAATAAGGTTTTTTGATTTTAATAATAAAAGAGGTTAGTGTATAATCAGATTTTAATAAGGGTATGATGGTAACTTTATCAATAAAAAAGTTACTTAAAAAGGGAATAAAAAAAAAATTGTTGCAACTAATAGGTAGCACCTATTTGTAGTATTTGTTGCAACTAACCGTTAACAGAGGGAGTATTTCTTGATTCCATATTAATAATAGATTACTAGTATGTGATAAGAATCGAAAAGAGAGATAATAGAGAGAAGTAAATAAAAAAGAGCTAGACTTATGTGATGTAAGGAGTAGAGAGAGATCATATGCAACTATGCATATAAATAAAAAATTATAATTCTTATGGATTTTTGAAATGATGTGTAATATCGTGATTTTGTATGAAACATTATCAAACAAAAGGCAAGATACATGAAATTAGGACCGGATGTTCACAAGACCGTGCATGCCCAAGTACATTTATTTGCTGTGAAGTTCAACATTATCGGACATCGATATCTCACCTTGCCACTAAATGTGCTATCTCATTGGAATACCCTTCTCCTTTAAATATACTTCAACGATTATTTCAATTTTAAATGGGCCTGTATAGAGTGTATACTAGATTAAGGCCATTTGCTAATGCCCCAAACAATCTCCACTAATTCTTGTTTATTTTGGCTCCACTAATTTTTGTTCATAATTTGGGCCTAATAGAGCAAGTGGATCATTTAGCTAATGCCCCAAATAATCTCCACTAATCTTTTCTTTTTTATAATTTGGGTTTCACTGATTCTTCTTCATAATTTGGGCCTAATAGAGTAAGTGGATCATACTATTTCACGTGTAGAATGATTGGTGGAAAATTGGACCCGAAGACAATAGCTTTTTTAATTTTATATGGTGTAAGTAGTATTTTTGCTAGAAAATACCAATGTAGTGTATAAAGCTGAAATATTTTATAGGACTCAATATTTTTATACATAAACATAATACGTTACTACCTCCATTTTAAAATGTATTTTTTTTTTTTTGGTTTGCACAAATTTTAAAAATTATGTTTTTCTTTCTTCTATTTGCACGATTTTAAAACGTATCATTGACCATCATATCGAAAAGTTAGAAAATAACATGATCTACTAAGGCCCCTTCAAAGCCTCGCTCCTGGTTCATGATCATCATTGGATTGAGGTAAGTCAAGCAATAGAGTTTAAGTTTGAAAAAATAAGGAGGTAGTTTGCCGTAAACTCCGTACATAAAATTTGACTTATTATTTATTTATTTTTTGTTGAAGAATTTGACTTATTATTTAAAATGATATCCTTAAGAATGTACTATTCCGTAATATTGAATTGGTTAAAATTCTCTTCTTCTCACACACAATGTGTTACTGTTACATACCTTAGTCCACACTATAACAAGTCCACACTATAACAAAATTAAATGGAATATTAATCATTTTTCTAGATTATTTGACCTTAAGGGAAATTTTTTTTTTTTTTATTTTTTTTTTTGAGGGAAATAAAAGATTTAATAAAAGTGGTCTACTAATAAAATCATAGATTTTCAATTTCAATTTAGCGTTAAAAAAGTAATTATTATATAGAAACATTTTTTTATAATCAACCTAAAAAAAGATGATCATATACAGAGACTTTTGCAATGCAAGATTTCCCACCAACTTTGCATATTTATTCTTTAATTAAATGTAAAACATTGACATAATCTTTTGGGTGGCATATAAGATTTGACTAGCAAAACAATTGGATTAATGACACAAATAAAAGTGGCGGGGTTAAGTTAATATAAGATCGA